TATGTTCAATTATACTTATATTAAATAATTTAGGATACATGTAAATCACATATTTTCTTCTTGACAACTACCCAATCAATTTTTATGATCATTGATAATATGCCTTTCCATGATAAAAAAAGGCCATATATATAAGTTCCTTCAATCCTTTCATTGCTTTAGATTCCTTTTCATTAAATCTCTTAGCACAAAAAGTTATCCATGAATTTGATAGTAAAGGAGATAATCAATCGGATTACTCACCTCTATGAAGTCCATGAGAATAAGCTTCACTCACAATTTGGGCATCATTACATGAAAGGATTAGGAGATAAAATCAGATGATTTTGGATTGCCCAATTTTTCCATTGGTGGATAATGATTGTTAGATCACATTATAGATGGCAAAGATGACATTGGCATGAGTTTATAATCATGATCAGAAGATGGTCATGGACAACATATATGGATGATAAAGGTCCCAAAAGTTGAAACATTAGATCAAAATCTATGATGCACCGACACTTCTCCTCAAAGAGGCGTGCAGTGTCCGACACGTATCCGACACGACACGCATCCGAAGCTCCTCCAAAACATGTCAAATTCAGCCACCGGACTCCGGATCTTCTCCCTTGCTACTCAAATTCATCTAAGAATTTTGACGATGGTGAACTCTTCCCCAAGTTTCCTATTTTCCTAGTTTATTTTCAATTGGGGTTCTATTTTGACTCACAAGGTTCATGTCAAGCTCTTCACCGCTAAAGCCTAGTAATTAGAAGAGTTGTGTAAGGGATCTTTCATAGCCTAATCTTATTGTTAGTTTTGGAATTTCTCGTTGAAACCACTCATGTATGCAAAGTAAGATTTAGTTGACTATTTAATGATCTCAACCTCTCGCATGTGTTTAGACCAAAGCTATGTTATCACCTTATCATTTTTATTTTGCCGTTTATCATCAAGAGAAAGCTTATAATTATTGTGCTCTAAAATTTAAGCGTGCAAACTTCCTTAATTTAATCATCCATGCTAATACGTTTCACATCATAATTTTTCTGGGATTTTCCAGTAGACTGATCTTTTTGTGGAGTTTATTTAGGAGTAGATTAGATTTTATCCTCCGCTGAAATTTTCTATTTAAATACCATAATCCCTACAATGAAATCTATCCAAAAACTCTTAAGAAAAAGACAACTCTCTCTTCTCCCGTCACTATCCCCATATCAGTTTTCATGCCCTGTCATTTATAACTAAAGATGTTGCGGTCTGTAGCAGCAGCCACAGATTGTAGGAGGAAGCGCCTCGGGTTTGATGGATCTATGCTGCGGATGTCCAATAAAGCTTCGCCATTTTTTGTGTTCCTCCCTGCTGCTGTTCTTTTATATTTTTGCTGCTGTTATCTCTGTTGGCTGCTGTTGTTCCATCTGTTGCCAGCTGCTAGAACCGAAAACATTTCTGGCTGCTGTTTCCAGAGAAAATCCAGAAAACATTTCTGGCATGCTGTTAGGAAGAAACGAGGAGTTCTGGGATGTTATTTCAAATTACTTAAAATTCTTATACTTCAAAAAAAAAATATTGCTATAAATTAACTTGGTTTAGTTTATGTTCTTTAAGATAACATGAAAGATTATACAAAATTAATTATATTATAGGGGGCATTTCTATATAACAATTTGATGCCGACTAGTTAGAATCTGTATATCCCCTCTATAACAATTTGAAGCCGACTAGTTAGAATCTGTATATCCCCTCTAGCAATTTTATAGCATTTACCACAAGCTGCGAGATTCATAACTTAATGATTTTGAATCATCTTTTTTATATGTTGATGCTGTAATCTAAGGGAACTCTTGGTAAGTGATTAACTGATTATTTTTGTTATATATTGACTTTCTTATGATTCAACTTTACTTTGACAAGTTCAAATAGTTTGTAAAATGCTAGCTACCTTAATTTTCATTATTAATAAATTTGAAACCTGTAGCTTATAATATGTAGTTCATTAAAGAGTAATTTCAGCAAAAAAAATAATATTTGGACTTGTATCTAACTTGTAGTTTTATAGAGGGGATGTTTTATTTGATGAAAAGTAAGTGGAAAGTGTTGAGTCCAAGTTTGCCTGGTGGATTATGCTTGGCTTTACTAGCAAATCAGTCTAGTGAGTTTGATAATCTGTTGGTGATAATGGAGAGTAGATAATTGAGAGTAGAAAAAAATAGGCAAGTAAAATCTTCAATATCTCAATCAAGCATACTTGTTAATGGTGAATGGCACATCACAGTGCAAAGGCCCCTTTAGAGGCATGGCGCATAGCGCACGGAGCGGCCTGTGCCATTTTGAACATGGCATAAACTATATAATAATTGTAAAAAATAAGCATGAATATGAAATATCATTGAACTGAAATACAAGCTATCATTAATGAAAGACAGAAAGACAATCATAATCATGCAGTCATAGATAAGTTCAAGTAAAGAGCATCTTAAATGTCTTATAATTAAAAATATTACAATCTTTTTTTTTTAAATAATGATTTAATAAGAATTTAATCTTCTCTTCTGAGGAATCATCATAATTAACAAATTTCAAAAAAGCTTCATTATCTTCATAAACATTGTCTCCTATTTCATACTCTCCTTCATCACCCTTCTCCTCCTCATTCTCAATAGCAACAACGTTATGCTCAAAAGAAAATTCCTTTTCATTTCTTTTAAATCTCTCCCGAATGTTGCAGCTTTTATCATAAACATCAATAGCCTTAGCAACACTTGACCAAGTTAAATCTTCTTCTCCAGCAATAAAGTCATTTTTTTATCAAACTCATCATCTAATTTTCCCGTTAACCACTCATTTGCGTTGTCTATCTAAGTCAAATAAATAGGATCAATCACATTACGATAATTGTATCTCTGAATCAATGCTCTATTATATTTTATATAAACTAAATCTTTTAAGTGGTCATGATCCAATTTGATTATTCATTTGCTATGAAGCTACTATTGAAATATTATTACATTACTATACTATGAACGTACATTAAAAAGCATCACATTCTTTGTATAAATACTTACATATTAAAAAATACTCTGATTACGTTCGCAGCCGGTTGAACCACATGTTAGACTAAGGACTTTGATAACAAAATTTTGTAAATTGGGAGCTCCTTGGCCATATGTCAATCACCAATTAACTGGAAGAAATAATTTTTTTTATAACCTTGCGAATCAATCTTCATTCTATGCAAATAAATTATGTGTGTTGCTTCATTAAAAAAATCAAGCACGTCATAGACCTTCTCTATATTACTCCATTCATTTTCTATGGGACAGTTATGATAAGTTAATTTCCTCTCATTATATGAAGTGAATGTCTCCCTTAACTTAAAAATCACAGTAAGCATGTTGTAGGTTGAATTCCACCTTATTGGATAATCCATAATTAATTTAATAGTTGGCAAATGAAATTGAACATTAGCAAATCTAAGTAATCTGCCTTCCGATGCATTCAAAAAACTAATTATATCTCGATTTTTTTCCACAACAAACTCAACACTTTATTACCATCTTAAACTATCAAATTCAAGATGCGGGCACAACAACAAACATGAAATATCCTTTCTCCGAAAAATAATTTATTCCTTACATGAAAATTATGCTTTAGAAGTTTAATGGCACGATTATTATTAAATGCATTATCAACTGAAAGTGTAAATAATTTATTCTTCAAACCCCATTCATCAAGTTTCTTGTAGAAAATATCAACAATTTTTGTAGCTATGTGAGGAGAAGGCATGTAAAGGAAACTTAATATACGCTTTTGCAACTTCAAATTTGAGTCCGCATAATGGTATGTGACTACCATATAAGATATTCATTGGTTCTTAGACTTCCAAATGTTTGTTGTAAAACTAATTCTATTTATGCTTTTCAATACATTCTAAAGTTTTTTTTCACCTTCTCATAAACTAGCATAACATCACTACAAGCTGTTGTTCTTGAATATTTCAAAAACTAGGGAGACATTGACTTAAAAACAAGATTAAAATCAAACTTTTCCACAATAGAAAATGGCTTTTTAGTTTTTATTGATCAAAATGTAATGAGCTATACTCTCTCTTACTTTAGAATTGTCATAAGAAAAGGTGGTCAAACTAGCACTCTCATGTGAGTTGTCAGCAACAAAATCAATTTCCTTAGGTTGAAAATGAAGTACTATTTGGTTTCTTATGAAATGAATCCTAGCCGCACAACAATCAAGATGACATCTAAATTGTGTTGTCGACCATGTAGTTCCTATGGAAAGGGCCTTCATACAATGAATACATTCCCCTTTCTTCTGACAATTAGGAAGTTTTATTTCCTTAAACTCATCCCAAACAAATGATCTCTTCTACCCTTTTTTGTTGTAATAGGATTTGCATCTTCATTCTGAGTACATGTGCCTACACCATCCCCTTCTACACCTTTATTTTCCTCCACCACAACATTATTTTCAATCAACCCAACATTTGCCTCTACACTATAAATGGTACTTCATCAATTGTCTCCAAAATTATTTCCTCACTAATATTATCTTCAACAATTGATTCGGGTGACATTCTAGAGTAGATACATAAACCATAATGAATAACACATATAAGTTAATTCAAACATTGACTTAACAATAATTCTAAAATAAAAAAGATAATTGTCAGGATAAAATGAAAGTTGGCTAGAATGTGAATAATGTTACAAGGAATATCCATTAAAAATTATGATAAAAATCGTTGAAAAACTTTTCTCCCAAATGAAACCTAAATCAAGACATCCTAAAATAGATATGATTACATAAAAAATAAATTTTAGAACTAAAAAATAAGTAAACCAATGCATAAAAATAAAACAAAATATAAAAGTCCTTTAACAAAAAACAAGACATGTAAAAAAAAGCATAAATTAACTAAATCATAAGTTAATAGACACACAGTCTTAACATCAAAACTACAAATTACAGTAACTCAAAATATAACATAAGTTCAGTGATACCTTTTCTTTTGAACTTGAATATCAACCTTTAAGATCACTTCTTGTAAACAGATCTGAAGAAAAAAAAATTGAATAAAGATCAAATAACCCGAGATAAACAGATCTTGAGAAAGAAAAACAACTGAATAAAGAGTCAGCTAACCCAAGATTAACAGATTTAAAGAACGAAAAAACATAACCAAAAAAAAAAAAAACTGAATAAAATCTTTAGTTATAACACAAGTTTAGCAGCTACCTCTTCTTTTGAACTTGAATATGAACTTTCAAGATCAGTTCCCCTAAGAAGGTGTTATAGAACAGAAAAAATATATAAAAAACTGAATAAAGAGTCACCTCACCCAACATAAACAGAAAAAACATAACAAAAAAATTTATAAAAAAAGAGCATACAACAGAGATAAGAAATCCTAATCGGAGAACCAAGCTAGCGACCGTCACGAGACTCCCAACTGCCAAACGACCGGAAAACCGTTGTCTCTCCACCCGCCGAGTCACCTCTCCTGCTCTAGCAAATGAAGGACGGAAGACGACCCAGATAGAGAAGCCCTAGCACACGAACGGTATGCCACAACTCCGCACAACCCAGAAAAAAAACTAAAGGGCTGTTTGGTATCGGATTTATCGTTGGATTTAAGTCGGATTTGCGCTAAATCCAGCCAAACGGTTTTACAGCGCGCGTTAAATCCAGGATTTACTAAATCCCTCGGTTCGGTGGATTTAACGGGATTTAAAGAGTGGCGGAAGACTTACCCGCGGCGCCCGTGTCGCCGAAGCTCAACAGTCGCCGAACAAGCGCGTGAAAGGGAGAACCTTCACAGCCAGCAAGCTCCCGTTGTTGCTTCCGATCAAAATGTCGTAACTTCCGACCCGACAGGAAGGGAAAGTCGTGTCGAACAGCCACGAAAGAGACGAAGTAGCGACGCACGCAATATCTACACCTCCTGCAAAGCAACGAAGCCGAACAGAACGACGAAAGGAAACGATGAAAGGCAAACCCTAGACACCTCAAAGTTATTATTGATTAACTTAATTAATATAATTTAAATAATTAATTAATTAATTGTATAATTAGTGTATTAATTTATTGTCTAATTTAACTTAATTGACTAATTAATGATATAATTAGCAATAAAATATTAATATAATTAGTTTATTTAATATTGCAACTGATATTTCGGTCAATGTTAGTTTGTAATTTGCTTTTTATTGAATTTTCGGTCATTTTATATGAACTAAAATTTATTTTATTATGTTTTATGTAATGATCTTGATTTCATAAATATCTCATTTAAATTTAAATCCCTAACCGCTATAAATCCTGATATATGTTATCAAACAATTTCTCATGATTTAACAGGATTTAACATTTAGCATACTAAATAATTTTCAGGATTTAACACATAAATCAGGAAATATTAAATCCCATTAAAGTTAAATCACACTTGTTGCCAAAACAGCCTTAACTTTATTAAATATAAAATATTAAATTTAATGATTTTTATATATTACTAATTAATGATTATTTAAAATATTAATGTATATTAATTGTGGATAATCAAATGATATTTGTTGAACAACTTTATTTATCTAATATGTATTTATATTTCACAAATAATTAAATCATTTACTAATTATGTATTTAAAGTGTCAACATAATGATAAATGAATCAAGCACCAAATTATTCAAATTTATTCATTTATCAATTAAGTATTTATAAATGTAATAAACTTATTCAAGTAGATATTTAAATAATAATGAAGAAACTCTAACCATGAGAAACATGTCAAGCGTATTGATTCACATGAAAATAAATCATGCTTCATTATTTTTTCCATATATTATTTAATACATATATCGGTCATGTTGGATATATGATGGATGCATATTTGATGTATGTTCGTGTCAAATATATGTCAGACACTAATACTCCTAAAATTCATAGTTTTGAAGAATTTTTTAGTTATATAATAATTTACTAAGAATTTTCTTTCATTTTTAACATTTTTAAAAATCATCAATATTAATATTGATTTCGCTAATCTTGCTTGATGTTTTGGCCTCTAGAAAATAGGTTGAAGATGTTCATCTCAAAATATTTGAGTAATAAACTCCGAGGTTAATTTAGTTCAATTTTTGAGCTCATTAGAATTTAATGTAAATTAATTGAGTATATACATATTACATCAAATTTGTCCAAATGAGCTAATTATGATGGGGTTTGACATAATTTCATTAAATTCATTAGATTATTTACATATGAAATCATATATATTTTGTTATTTTATTTTATTTATTCATTAAGTTATAATTAATTTATGATTTTTTTCAATAATTATTAATTTAAAACTTTGAACAAGCTAAGAACATGCACCACTCGAGGGAAAAATCATTAGGTGTGGAGTGCGCACCTTCCGCACAAGTACTGGGTACCTAGCAGTACCCAGCGGTACCGAGTGCTGGTACCGCTAGATACCCAATGCTTGTGTGGACGGTTCTCCCCGTCCGCACCTAATAATTTCTCCCACTTGATGGCACTATGGTGGCGTTGATGTGACATTACGTGGGTCGCAACATGAGGAAAGAAGCCTTCCTTAGAAGACCTAGCTAGTTTTTTAAATGGGAGTCCAATTACAAAGCCAAGCTCCTGCCATAAGGAACAATACAAATGAGTTAGAGCATTAGCTAGTTCCTTGAATTGTAGACCGCAAGGAACCTTGTCTACAAAATATAGATGTCAATCCCAAGAAAAAAATAAAGGATTATTGCAAAGCTATGCAATTGAGAAGTGGGAAGAAGTTAAAAGAAGTGGTTAAGAAAAAAAACAATCAATTCGAGGAAGTGATCGCATGGAGAAGAATCTGTAAAGCCCATGCTTCCACAAAAGCATGAAGAACAATCTCAACTTGATAAGGAAGTACAAAGCCCATTTTTTGAGAGGCCACAATTCCCATTTCCCCAAAGTTTATTAAAGCGGAACTTTGATAGGTAGTCCACTAGATTTTTGGAAGTGAAAAAATCTTATCGTAGGTGTCTACATATGCTAAGCACAAGGAAGATGTTGGATGACATTGGCACCCCAATAGGGGGGGGTGAGTTGCGGTTGGGGTTCTTAAAAATTTTATTTAAAAGAAGAAAATTAAAATGTTTTTAAAGCAATTTTGAAAAGAGTAAGTAATCACAAAATATTTTTTATGAAAAAGACAGAGAAATTAAATGCAAGAAATGAAAATAACAGACACAATATTTTTACGTGGTTCGGCCCAGATTCCAATTCAGCCTACGTCCACGCTAGCCAACTCTTGGTTTATAATTCACTAATCACAGGTTTGCTTGGCAAACCTCACTTCTTTAAACCAAAGAAGTTCTTTACAACCTAAGTACTCTCCTACACTGGCGAGTACAACCCAATCTAATTATAATTAAAACTTCACCAAGCTAAATGACTTAGATCAAAAAATAAAAAACTATAATTTGATGTAAATAATACATGTTCAAATTATCTTGCAATAAAATATCCACAATATTTGAGGTGATCTTATAAATTAATTTTAATCACCTCACTACTTGCAAATCAAATATTAAATTTATTCACTTTAAGATAGATTTATATTTTGTTTAAAATAAGAATAATATATTAAAAAAATATATTCTTGCTGATTTAAACTTTAATTTTTCAAATAAAATAAAATAAATTAGATTATAGATGTAAATCTATGCCACCTTAAAGAAGTAAAAATACTTATTTTGCTAAATTTTATGAATTTAAAAGATATGATATATAAAACTTTAATATAAAATTTCCAACAAGTATTTCACCATAAAATAAATATTTTCAAGAAAGAAATATATGGTGAAAACTAAAAGAACAGCAAGTAAAGATTTAAAGAAGGAAAGCAAACTCAAGAACTCTAAGGGATGTTACTCGATTTTGTGTTGAAGCTTTCCAAAAAAGGGCTCTTGGAATAAAAATCAAAGTTTCTCCTCTCAAGATTTAACATGTAAAGATGAAAGGAAGAATGGAAGAATTGATGGAGATTTTTATTTTAGTAGCACTTACATGAAAAAAAATAGAGATATTTATAGGGAAGAGGGTAAGTAAAGTCATATTTGAATAAAAATATTAATCTAATATATTTTTTATTAGCTAATAATATTATATTTCATTAAGAATTCATTTATATTAAATATATATGAGATTCAAATGGCTATAAAATGGCTAGCCACATGGGAATGTATTATTAATGATGTGCGTTGCAGCGGGGACGGCAAGGTCTAGACTCGCGCTGCAGCGGGGCGTGGTCGCGCCTTTTTTCTACGGGTTACATTAAAACGGGTTCGCGGGTTGACCCGGTAACCGTCGGGTCAACCCGAACCCGACCCGTTTTTCAAACGGGTCGATTTTTGGAACCCGAACCCGACCCATTTTGAAATCGGTTCGGGTCCAACCCGGATTTTCCGGGTCGGGTTTTCGTGTCGTGCCAAATATTGACACCCCTACCGCTAGGTACCCAGTACTTGTGCGGACGGTGCGCACTCCGCACCTAATAATTTTTCCCTCAAGTGGTGCATGTTCTTAGCTTGTTCAAGGTTCTAAATTAATAATTATTGAAAAAAATCATAAATTAACTATAACTTAATGAATATAAATAAAATAAATAACAAAATATATATGATATCATATGTAAATACTCTAATGAATTTATTGGAATTAAGCAAAACCCATCATAATTAGCTCATTTGGACAAATTTAATGAAATATGTATATACTCAAATAATTTACATTAAATTCTAATGAGCTCAAAAATTGAACTAAATTAACCTCGGAGTCATCACCATGACTACTCAAATATTTTGAGATGAACATCTTCAGCGTATTTTCTAGAGGCCAAAACATCAAGCAAGATTAGCGAAATCAATATTAAATTATTAATATTGATGATTTTTAAAAATGTTAAAAATGAAAGAAAATTCTTAGTAAACTATTATATAACTCACAAATTCTTAAAAATTATGAGTTTTAGGAGTATTGTGTCTGACTTGTATTTGACACGAATATACATCAAATATGCATCCATCTTATATCCAACAGGGTCGATATGTGTATTAAAAAATAAATAGAAAAAATAATGAAGCATGATTTGGTTTCATGTGAATCAATACGCTTGACATGTTTTTATGGTTAGAGTTTCTTCATAATTATTTAAATATCTAATTGAATAAGTTTATTACATTTATAAATACTTGATTGATAAATGAATAAATTTGAATTATTTGGTGCTTGATTCATTTATCATTATGTTGACACTTTAAATTAGGGGTGTCAATTCGGGTCAACCCGTCGGGTTCGGGTCGAACCCGACCCGACCTGGATCTAAACGGGTCAACCCGAACCCGACCCGTTTTTGCAAACGGGTCGGACATTTCAACCCGAACTCGACCTGATCGGGTTGCCGGGTTG